TTTAATTTATTTATTTTTCCATTCCCTTCCCCCCAAACTTTTTATTTTTATTTTTAATTTTTTTTTTTATTTTAACTTTTAAATTTTTTTTTTTTTTTATTATTTTAATTTTTTGCGTTTTTGTTAATTTAATTTATTTACTTTTTTTCTCTCCTGAACTTTTCATTTTTGTTTTTTTAATTTAATTTATTTATTTCCCCTCTCCCGAACTTTTCATTTTTGTTTTTTTTTTAATTTAATTTATTTATTTTTTCCCTTTCTTGAACTTTTTGTTTTTGTTTTTTTTTAATTTAATTTATTTATTTCCTATCCCTAAACTTTTCATCTTTGTTTTTAATTTTTTTTTATTTTATTTTTTAAAATTGACTCAAAACTTGATTTGAACTTGACTCGATTTGAATAAATTTAAGTCAAAATCAAATCGAGTTAAAATCGAGTCGAGTTAAATTGAGTTGAGTTTAAAATTTATATAACTCGAATCAAATCAAATTGAAAGATTTTATAAAATAAATTTGACTCGACTTGACTTGAAAAAAATGAACTAAATAGAGTTAGTCTTTAAACTTGACTTGACTCGACTCATTCAGAACTCTATTAGTATTTCTTGTTATGTTTATATTTATCTCTAGTTGACATATATTCAATTTTGTGTTTGAAATACTGATCATCAATTAAAGTGATGATCATTAGTTTAGAAGAATTTGTTGAGCTACAAATTGTATAACAGAAAAATAGGTGGATTACAGGACAGGTCTGTGTAATATAATAATTTTTATTTTCATATATTCTAAAAAAAAACATATTAACCTTTGTTCTTTATTTTTTCTTTGAATAATCATGAGAAAAATGTAAAAAAATGTCTAGTTGCAACACAGGATTAGTTCTAAAAGTAAATATTAATGTTTAAAATATATGTTATAAAAAGCTGAGAGACTCATAATTTTGAGATCGCTAGTCGTAAATCTAACTATATATCTTTCTAGTAGATCTTCATATAAAAAAGTATGAGAATTCTGTTTACATATGCTTTCAAAGCTTTCTTAGTATCATACAACAATGCTAATCACTATTCTTATCTTCTTATCTTTTTTTTAGCAAGATATAAAGCATGTAGGAGTATGTGAAAGTTTAGCTAACTTTTCTGTAAAACTTTTAAGGTATGTATATGTCAAAGAGAATTCTTTTGAGACCAGTTATGTATGTATAGAAATGAAATTTTCTCACTATGAGTTTATTATCAATAGAAAATATGAAACAAAATGTCTACCACTGATAATAGTAATATTATAAGCCTCAATCTCCATTACTGTAATAGTCAAAATAGAAACATAATTTTCATAATCGAGGTTTCTATAAATAACTATCTTTGATATTGCGAATAGAGTTAGAGCTATATTAGCACCTCATATCCCTGTCTGTTCTCAAAAGCTCTATCTTATACAAATTTATTCAACTGGTATACAAAAAGACAAATGCTAATGGAAAATATGATTTCTGTTTATTTTCCTGAGAATCCTGATGAAGATATAATTTATATTTTTATTATCCTAATAATATTTTTTCCTAGTATCATGTAACGAATGTATTCGCAATTTTATGTATTATAGGCCATGAGTTCTGGCAATGTTTTTTTATTTCATAAATAAAGTATTATTATTTTATCAGTATATAAGAAATAGATCATGTAAAATGATGTAATACTTGTATAACATAAAATCTATATTAATGCCAGTATTCCCAAACAGAAATAAATTTTTATCTCACTCTAAAACGTAACACTATTTTTTATCTGAGCCTAATATCCCTATAAAAATGTAACACTATGTCTGAAACTAGTACATCTTATACTTCAGTTTTTACTTCTATTACTATTACTGGAAATGAGACAGTCTCGCTGGCAGACAAAATTAAAAAATATAAAACGAAGGCTTTTATTGAATATTTACAGAAGGAAGAAAACTTAGGTCTTGACGATGACAATTTGAAGATATTTTACAAGAGAAAAGTAGCCAGCTGAGCTTTTCCTAAAATAGACAAACAAGATTTTAGAGATAGTAGATTTGAAATAAGAACAGCTATAGTACTTGCGGACTTCACTAAAAAGAGTAAGAATAAAAATTACATTCATTTTCCTTTTATTTTAGCTTAAGTGAAGTGTTAGCAGAATATAGTTATGACTCTGATAATATAGATTCTATTCCACTCTTCTTCTTTTTCACATATGAAATTTAGGATGGCAATGAGATCCTTAAATGTTACATGAAAGAAATTTTAGGTAGGTTACACTCCTATAGAACTTTATAACTGAATAGTTTGAAGACCATGCATAATGAGTATGTCATAGTGCTTTTTTATGCTTCTATTTCACTGTGTGAAGTATAATAGATAAGGAGGCTTAGCATATGTTTTCAGTATAGAATAGTTAGTGAAGAAAGCTGAGGTCAGGTTGATTTTGCAATAAAGGTAATGTTTTTTTGTTATTTCAACTATACTCATGTTAATTTACCACTAATACAAACTATAAAAATATATATGGATAGGAGGCTGAAGACCTTATCTATATCATAGAAAATAACAATATAAGGTTCCTATAGGCATCGCTCAGAATATCAAACAGCTTAAGAGCATATGCGAGATGAATAAGAGAAAGAGAAAGCAGGATGAAGAGGATTTCAATTATCTCTATGGTATCATCACAACAGGTCAAGACTGGCACTTCCTTCTATATAGTTCTGAAAAAATATCTAAGGTGAGTGACATTGTATATTCAATCGAATTTAATTAGCAAAGCTAATACCAAAATTCTAACTCATACAAATTATTATGTAATAGCGTAAAAGAGGTTTTAGGCATAATTGTAGATCTGTTAAAGGATAGGGCATATGCGAAGGAAGAACCTGATAGGAAGAAAGTTAGGATAGAGGATATCATTTGAAAAAATAATTGTATAGTCACTAGCATAGGAGATTCATTATGTATCCCAGGCTATATCCTGAACATTTATATTTATTTTCACATGTATTAATAAAAAAATTGAATTTTGCAAGTATATATGATATGTAAAAAAATATATAGTCATAGAACTGCCATTCTAAGATTATAAACAAAAATGTATTATAATCGAATTTTAACTGAGTAGCCATATTAGAACTAATACATGCTCAGACTCTAAAACATCTGTTTTTGTAAATGTGTCATATAATACATTCAGTTTATATTTTAAAAGTTATAAATCTGAAAGATAGAGAATTTCATGAGCATGTTATTTTCCAAGTTTTTATCTCTTCTTGCTCTCAAGTTATTTTTATTAATATAGTCAAGTTATCAATAGAATAGTTCATTTGAATTAGATTCTAGAGTGAAAGTTATTTTTTTTTAGAGTAAATAGACTCATTCCTCCCATAACAGCAGATTCTATACTAATAGAAATCTTTTTACAAATATCTGATCTATTAGTTAGGATAGATAAAGGTAGAATTAAAGCTGAATAGTAGAAGTCAGCTAAGAGATCCAGCTCAAATTCAGTTACATATATAGTCTTAATATCTTTTAAATAATCTGAAAGTCTATCAGCATATTTATAACCTTCACAAATCAACTTCCAGAATAGCTTTCCTTTTGGGTCAATCTATCAGTCTAACAAATATTGAGTACTATTTTTGTATATCCATAGAAATGTAAGTAGTATAATGTGATATAAATTTTTTGTTTATGTTATACTTTTTTCACTCAAGTTCAATTTGGATTTTTCTATTTTAAAATTCAAATTCTATACTGTAAAAGATGCAAGAATATAATAAATAGATTGTCTTACCTATCCTCATATTAAAAAAGATAGAAGTATTTATGGTCATATTTATACTCGCTTAATAGGATACTCACTTTACTGAAAATCAGATGCAAATAATATGTTAAAATCTCTATGTAGAATATGCGATAAACCTACATTATCTTATACAAACTATTGCTTCAAGCATACCAAAAAAATTTATCGTCACCTCAAAAGAGAGAGACAATAAATAAGTTTATCATAATAATAATGTCTACTTGTATAATGGTCATTTACCCCTATTAATAAAAAATTTTCTTAGCAAAAGATATCTGCATTTCAAATTGGAATAGACATATAACTTTTTTTATTTTGAATACTTGTATAAAAGTATTATCAAAGATGGAATCTGAAATTAACTTACTTAGGTAAAAAATGTCAAACTTGTGACCAAGAATTATAAGCTTGAGGCTGAAATTATAAAGCTGAGTCAAATTATTGAGAAGAATGCCAGGTGTAATATTAGAGTCAAAGAACTAAAGCAAAAAAATACAGAGCTTGAGGTTAAACTTGTATCATTAGAATAGGCTTTCTTAATAGTGGATAGATAGTCACAGAATAATAATAAAATAATATCAAAGGGTTACAAGAGGTATTTGTACTAGCTATTAATATATCTGAATTTGTAGTAGATTAGCAAAATAATGTTGATACTAAGTCAATGAAGGATAAGATAATAGATAATTGTTTACTTAAACAAATACTGATACCAGAGGTATTATCAGAGATAACTAATATGCATGATATTTACTAAAAGCAAATCCAGCTTAAACAGTGTAAGTCTGATAATAAAACAAATAATATAGTACCAGAGGTAAATGTGTTTACCAACCCTCCATTTTGTAAAGAGGATAGGAAAACTGATAAATTTTTAAATGCAATATATAAGAAGAAAGTTAGCGATAAGATTAAGTAAAGAAAGTGAAAGAAGAAACTTCAAGATAATTTATTACTAGAGGTAACTTTCTAGAGAAAATCAGATTCAAAAATACTTGTAGTTTCTTTAGATTCTGCAATTCTCTTGAATGAAAAAAATGGACATGATTATTTTTCCTTTTCTCAATTAAAGATTTCGTGAGATAAAAAGAATACTCAATTTTTAGAAAATTCTAATAACAGTCTATCATATAAATCATGTAATACTTTTTCTAGCTTTGAATGTAATGAGAGGATGGAGAAAATTTCCTATAATCTGAAAGTAGAACAAGACTTGAGAAAAGAGTTATCTGCTTACATGGAAAAAGGATTCACTTTACAGAGTAAAGATAAAATATTTGATATACAGATTTTCAAATTCTTCTTAAAAGCAATTCTAACAGGATCTAATAAAGTTACATCAATATAACAATAAAGGCCAGACGAAAGAAGATCTTATACTAGTATTATTACTATAAGGCGTTGTTAACGTTACTCTTTCCATTGAATAAGTTAACTATGATTTGAAGTCTAGGAGGCAATAGCTATGACTTAAATCCAATCAACTTGACACGCTGTTTATTAGAGTTTATTTAGTTAACAAGAAATA